CTGAGCCCTACATTGCATCTGAGTTGCACTTCAGGTGCTTCGTGTCCTCTTTGGATCCAGCCCTAAATTGTTCCTCAAACATCACATAAGTCTGTGGTGGAGGAAGGGATCACACATACAAACCAATGAATCATCTTGCACCTCTGTGTCTCTGGCCGCCCCATATAGCACTTATGCACTAGGCCTGTGCAAAGCGGCAAGTATTTGCTTCGGATTTGGATTTGGCTGATTTGGAGGGACAGTGATTTGATTTGGTGATTCGAATCACTGTCACAATTCGATTCAGATCCGAAGATTCGGTGCTGATTTGGAGATTTGGCCATAGACTAAACAAGCAGCTGTCCTCACCACGCTGGACACAGCTGCCTCCAGCTGGTAAGTCTGTTGTGGTGGGTGGATCAGGGAGGGAGGGGGCAGATCAATGCCCCTACAGTGAGGGAGGGATTGGGGTGGGGACAAGCTGCCCAGCCAGGGCAGGGGACTTGAGGAGGGGGGATCCTGCAACTGCATGCCACCGGTCCAGGTAAGGAATGGGAGTGGGCGTGTGCTCCTAGATCTGCGCGGGGCAGGCTGGGCTGGATGGGCTGCACTCTGGATGGGTGGTGGAAGGCACTGGGAGTGGGGGCTATGCTCTCTCATTGCTCGCCCAGCCTCCCCATGCCTCCTGGACAAGCCACAGCTTTGCCCCAGCTGGGCGAGCAGTGGCAGGGCATGGCGGTGGGTGTGTGCACCTGGATCAGGGAGGGGCTGGCAGCAGGGGCTATGGGAAATTTTAAGGTGGCTGCAGCCCTCCCATAGACCCCGCCCCACTGCTCTATGTGGGGCGGGCAAAGCCAGGGCTGCACTCTGGGCTGCGGCTGGGTCTAGCCACCCGACACAGCCATGGCTCCACCCGTTCCATGGAGTGCAGCCCGGTGGCGGGCAGCTGGGGCTAGCCTCCCACAGTACAGCCTGGCCCAGCCTGCCCCGCACAGATCTGGGGGCACATGCATGCTCCCATGGCTTCCTGGACTGGTGGCACGTGGCGGGAGCTTCCCTCCCTGAGTCCAGCTGCCCCCCACTCCAGCTGGGCAGCCTGTCCTAGCCTCAGTCCCTCCCTTGCTGTGGGGTTGTTGATCTGAACCTCTCCC